TGCTGCTGCTGCACTGCTGCGCTGCTGCTGCTGTTGCTGCCGCTGCAGGTCCATGTACGGCCCCCAGGTGTAGCAGCAGCTCTGCTGCTGAACGGCTGCTGCTTCAGGGGCCCCTGTGGGGCCCTGAGGGCCCCCCAGTGGCTGCAGCAGCGGCTGCCGAGGGCTTTGCTGCAGCACTTGCTGCTGCAGCTGCAGCAGCAGCAGGAAGGCGACGCAGAGGAGCCTGCTGCGCTCGCAGCAGCAGGGGAGCACACCCAGCAGCAGCAGCAGCAGCAGCAGCAGCAACAGCAGCAGAGGCCAAGGGCTGGGAAGCCGCACATATACACTCCGCTATCTCACATACAGAAAAGTGATGTAGTAAGAAGAGGCTGAGCCTGACCTCATTAGGGTTTAGGGTTTAGGGTTTAGGGATTGGGGATGAGGGTTTAGGGTTTAGGGTTTAGGGTTTAGGGTCTTCTGCGTGCTTCAGGTCGATGTCTATTGTGTGTACTGGGAAATGAGGAGAGCCCCTCAAGAAACTGACAGTGGGTTTGGAATTTGGGGTTTAGGGTTTAGGGTTTAGGGTTTAGGGTCTAGGGTTTAGGGTTTAGGATTAAAGATAAGCTCGGAAGCTGAGCTTTCGGGGTCTACGGGGGGACTGTGGGTTAACTGGAAGCTCTGTAACCCTCGGGCCGCCGCGACCCCCAGCTTAGGGTTTAGGGTTTAGGGTTTAGGGTTTAGGGTTTGGGGTTTCTGCAGCCGTGTGCTACATGAACGTGAGGGTTGTCGACGATTCTCTTCCTGTGCCTATTGACCGCAACAAGGCAGCAGAGTTTAGCCTCCAGGTATCTAGGGTTTAGGGTTTAGGGTTTAGGGTTTAGGGTTTAGGGTTTACGGTCTACGGTTTGGGACACAAAGGTGTCTAGGGTTTAGGGTTCAGGGTTCTTTTTCAGTCGCTCTAGGCTTTCGAAATTTTGCAGAGCCCCATAGAAGCTTTTGGGTTAAGGGTTTAGGGTTTAGGGTTTAGGGTTTAGAGTTTTGATTCAGGGTTTGGTTTCACGGGTTTTGAGGGTTTAAGACTTGGGTTTCTTTGAAGTGTCTGACGGCCGTGCTGCTGCTGCTACTTTTGTCTTTGCTGCTGCTGCTTTTGCTGCTGCTGCTTTTGCTGCTGCTGCTGCTGCTGCTGCAGCTGCGTGGGACCGGAGGCGGCGCTTCGTTGCCTTTTATGTTGGCTGGGAGTATCTTGCGGCTGCACAGAGTGGTGGTGGGCTCTAAACCCTAAACCCTTAAATCGTAAACCCTAAACCCTAAACCCTAAATCGCATGGTGTGAACCGGAAGGCCCAGCACGCCTTTCTAGTTCGAAGCACCAGCTGCTGCACTGTGTGCTAGTTAGGGTTTAGGGTTTAGTCTTCAGGGCTTAGTGTCTAGTATTTAGGGTTTAGGGTTTAGGGTTTAGGGTTTAGGGTTTTTGGCGCAGCTGCACTTCAAGGAGAGGTGCGGGGGCCGTTTCTTCTGGGCCCCAATTTTTCAGTGTTGTGTGCCCAGGGTGTGAGCTTTAGGGTTTAGGGTTTAGGGTTTAGGGTTTAGGGTTTGCGTTGCAGCTGCACCTGAAGGAGGGCGGCGGGGGCCGCTTCTTCGGGGACTTATTCCCCACTTGGTTATCTGCAATTAGGGTTTGGGGGCCCCTGGGGCCCCGGGCTTTGCAAAAAGAAGAGGGTTTAAACCCTCATAAGAAAACCGAGGCTTTGCTGAGTTCGCAAACCCTAAACCCTAAACCCTAAACCCTAAACCCTAGGGCCTGGGCCCCACGGCGCACGCCGGCTTCCTGCGCGCTCCCGCAGCCCCCAGACAGCCCGCGCCCAATCCCTAAACCCTAAACCCTACACCCCTGCAAACCCTTGCAAACCCTAAACCCTAAACCCTAAACCCTAAACCCTTGGCTGCTGCGCAGACCGCATGGAGGTCACAGGAGATAGAAACAAAAGCAGTTCTTTTTGCGAAGTGGATGTGGCCATTATTCATTCTTTAAACCGCTTCATTAACAACATCTTCTGCAACGACACAGGTAAACCCTAAACCCTAAACCCTAAACCCTAAACCCTGAGAGCTAAACCCTGCAAAGTCTTGGCCGCGGCCGCTCGAAGACCCAGGCCGCCAGCGAACACGCCCACCCACCTCGGAGGGTTTAGGGTTTGGGGTTCAGGGTTTAGGGTTTAGGGTTTAGGGTTTAGGGTTTAGGGTTTGCGAGGGCGCAGTTTTTACTTCGCGCTACACCGCCGACTTGAGGACTCTCTACAGAAGAGGGGAAGGAGCCTTTGGAGATGTTGTTGTTAGGGTAACCTGCTGCTGCTGTTGCTGCTGCTACTGCTGCTGCTGCTGCTGCTGTTGCTGCTGCTGTTGCTGCTACTGTTGCTGCTGTTGCTGCTGCAATTCGAAAGAAAGACTTTGGGCCCAGCTGTTCGGGCTTGAATTGCCGCTGCTGCTGTTGGGGCTGCTCTGTGCAGCTGCAGCAACAGCAGCAGCAGCAGCAGCAGCAGCGGCAGCAACGGTCG